AGAAAATCATCAGACCATAAGAGAAGAAGCAAAAAGAAGAAACAAACAGAGAAGAACTACAAAAGCAATTGGAAAACAAGTAATAAAATGGCAATAAATACACACCCACGAAGAAATACTTTAAATGTCAATGGACTAAATGTTCCGATCAAAAGGCGTAGACTGGCTTATTGAAAAAAAAAAAAGACCTATCTATATAGGCTGCCGATGAAACTCACTTTAGAACCAAAGATAGGTAAGGCTGAAAGTGATGGGAAAAGGTATTTCATGCAAACAGAAACGACAAGGAGAGTTGAACCAAGATGGCAGAGTAGAGAGACTCACAGCTCGCCCTCTCCCACAAATACACCAAGAATTACTTCTACAAACCCACTGAATCGCACAGAACACCTGCTGAACGCTGGCAGAGTGTCCCTCATTTCAAAATACAGGATTCTCACAAAATCTGGTAAGAAAAACAAATCAGTGCAGGACAGGTCCTGCAGGGAGGGCGCAGCATGGGACAAAGGCACCCTCATGCTGGCACACACCCTCTCCAGCTGGGAGGTCAGTGGGGACCGAAGAAGAACTTCTGAGGCTCCAAGAAGAAAGTGATAACCGCTTGGCAGACAGAACTAATGGAAACTGACACAGAGGATCCCTGCCATCCTGGCCCTAGAAGTGAGCTGGCAGGGACAAGCCAGGACTGGCTGCTGGAAATCGGTTAGGAGCCCAGGCAGAGGGCAGGGGCCCTCTGCACAGAGGCAGCCTCAGGGGACTGGAGGGTGGAGTGAGCTCTGGCTGGAGGTGTGTGTGGAACCGAACAGCCTGGGATGCCCATAAAAAAGCACCACTGTTGGTATGGGTTGGGGAGAGGTGCAATGCAGCCACGCCATAGCTGCTTTCTCCCCTTTGCTCCATTGTTGCTGTGTTCTCATGAGAAGAGAGGTGGGGCTGCACGGAGGCAAGGCTGAAAGCTTTTTCTCTAAGATCAAGAACAAGACAGATCCACTCTCACCTCTCTTATTCAACACAGTACTGAAAGGCCTAGCTAGAGCAATCAGGCAAAGTAAAGAAGTAAAAGACATCCAAATCAGAAAGGAAGAAATAAGATTGTCATTATTTGCACATGATATGATCTTACATATAGCAACTCTAAAGAATAAACACACACACACACGCACATGCACACACACACAGTTAGAAAGAATAAATAAAATTTTAAAAATTGCAGAATACAAAAGCAACATACAAAAATCAGTTGCATTTCTACACATTAACAATGGACAATCCAAAAAGAAAATTTAGAGAACAATCCATCATAAAGAAAAAAATACTTGGGAATAAACTTAATCAGAGAGGTAAAAGACTTATACACTGAAAATCACAAAACACGGATGAAAAAAAATTGAAGAAGACACAAATAAATGGAAAGATATCCTGTGTTCATGAATTGGAAGACAATTTTGTTACAATGTCCATAACTACCCAAAACAATCTACATAGTCAAACCAATCCATTTTAAAATCCCAGTGGCACCTTTTATAGAAACAAGAAAACAATCCTAAAATTCATATGGAATCACAGAGCACCTTGAAGAGCCAAAACAATTTTAAGAAAGAAAACAAAGTTGAAGGCATCACATCTCCTAATTTTTAAACATATTACAAAACTACAGAAATCAAAACAGTATGTTACTTCCGTAAAGACAGACATATAGACCATGTAGCACAATGACAAAGAATAGAGAATCCAGAAATAAACTCACACATGTATGGTCAACTGATCTTTGACAAAGATGCCAAGAATACACAGTGGGAAAGAATAGTCTCTTCAACAGACAGTGGTGGGGAAACTGGATATCCACACACCAAAGAATGAAATTGGACCCTTATCCTACACCATACACAAAAACCAACCCAAAATATGTAAAACACTTAAATGTAAGATTATGAGCTGTAAAAGTCTTAAAAGAAAATGTAAAGGAAAAATCTTCATGACATTGTTCTTGGCAAAGATTTCTTGGATATGATGCCAAAAGCACAGGAAATAGAATCAAAAATTGACAAGTAAGACTGCATCAAATTAAAAAGCTTCTGTGCAGCAAAGGAGACAATCCACAGAGTGAAAAGGCAACCTATGAAAAGAGAAAAAATTTTTGCAAACCGTGTATCTGATAAGAGATCAGTATCCAAAATATATAAGGTTCTGCTACAACTCAATGACAAAACTACCACCAACAACAAAGCCAAACAACTCAATTCTGAAGTGGGCAAAGATCTGAATAGACCCTCTCCAAAGAAGCCAATGGGTATGTGAAAGATGCTCAACATCGCTGATCTTATCAGGGAAATGCAAATCCAAATCAAAATGACATATCACTTCACAGCTGTTAGGGTGGCCAGTATCGATCAGTCAATCAACAGTCAACAAGGGTTGGCAAGGTTACAGAGAAACTGGAAAGCTTGCACACTGTTGGTGGGAATGTGAACAGGCGCAGTTGCTATGGAAAACAGTATGGAAGTCCCTCAAAAAATTAAAAATAAAACTACCATATGATCTGACAGTCCCACTTCTGGGCATTTATCCACAAGAATTAAAAAGACAGGATCTTGAAGACATATTTGCACTCCTGCATTCATCGCAGCACTATTCACAATAGCCAAGATGCGGAAACCACCTAAATGTCCATTGTCCAATGAACCAGTAAAGAAAATGTGGTATGTACATACAATGGAATATTATTCAGCTTTTAAAAAGAAGGAACTCCTGCTTCATGGGACAAAATGGATGAACTTTGAGGACATTATGCTAAGTCACAGAAGGATAAATACTGCATGATTCCACCTACATGAGGTATCAAGAAGAGCCAAAGTCATAGAGGCAGAAAGGAAAATCATGGTTGCCAGGGGCTGGGAGGAGGAAGAACGGGGAGTTCATGTACAACAGGTAAAAAGGTGTCAATTAAATAGAAAACATTTTAGAGATCTGCTGTACAACATTGTGTTTACAATTAACTGTGCACTTAAAATTTTGTTAAGAGGGTATATCTCATGTTAAGTGTTTGTAAAAAAGTAATTTCCAACAAGCCAACCTGTAATTAGGCTAATTTGAATAATAGCACCTGACCTTCAGGAGCAGGACCCCCATGCCTATTGTGACCCACTGATTCAAGGACAAGGCTTCCATCATAGAAAGTGCTCAAAAATAGATGCTGGAAAAATGAAAACACAATTAGGTCCATACTTTCATGAAAGCATTTACACAATATACACATTTTTAATTCCCAAAGGAGAGAGTGATACTTTACTTATAAATATGACTTCCCAAAATTTTGTCCTCTGAGAAAGTTTGACATAGGTTGGCTTAAAAATAAACATATATCCATTACTTATAACAAGAGAGAATGAAAAAAAATAGCTCTATAGTGAGAAAGAATTCCACGAGTGACACAATCCTTCTGTAAGTAGCACATTTCTCACTAGAGGGTGCTCAGAACCCACTGATCAATGGCCAGAGAAGCTTAGTAAAAACGTCATTTCACCAGGTGAAAAACGGTCTTGATATCCATGACACCGATTTCCAAAAGCTGGGAATACTTCATTTGCCAATTTTCTTCAGTTATTAACCTTTGCAGTCTTGAATTATATAAAAGGTGAATAATGCAAAGTCTCGTAATAACTAGTTGATTGACTTAATAAGCGAGTATTGTGAGTGAACACGATGGGGGCAAATAAGGCGTATGGCGTTTCCCATGCTCTCTCGGGAGAAAACTTCCTAGTATACATGAGAAAAAGCAAATAATATAAGGTAGTGGTGATTATGAATACCTGGAAAGGCTGCTTACTCTCTGGTTGCTCTTTTCCCGTTTCTGTGTGTAATTCTGTGGGGCCGTCTTTCTTATCTCTGCGCTTCTTTTTAAACAACATCCCCATTTTTCAGATACTTTATTTTTCCTTATGGACCAAATTATTAAACCAGGTTCGATTGAAACCTTGGTGACTGGAAGCAATCATTTGATTTTTGCTTATTTGTGCGCTTACCATTTGTGTGTAGATTTTACTGCTTAGCTTTCAGCGACAGTCACTCACACACACACACACACACACACACAGACACACACACTCACTCACTCCTGGGGTTTTGTTCGTTTGTTTTAATTCTTAGTTGGAGAGAGAACTTCACTCTCACAAGGAAGAAGAGTTGTTTTAATTCTTAGTTGGAGAGAGAACTTCACTCTCACAAGGAAGAAGAGCTGATTCAGTCGCAGTCCGAGATGTGGGCGTAACGCCTGATTCCCAGACAGGGTTTGCAACGAGGAGAGCCTGTAAGCGCTGCTCGCCGTGGCACCCAGATCGGGAGTCCGCGGCAATCTCTCCGCAACCATCTGCACAAGCCGGCCGTGCAGAGAACGCCCTATATCCCCAGCCCCCAAGCCTGGGAACGGAACTCGGGGGGACAGAGCGAAGGGAGCAAAACACGCATGCGCATGACGAAGCGGGGTGGGGGGAGAAGGCGCGCGTCGGGAGCGC